TATCACTGCAGAAAAATTCCCCCCTGTCAAGAATTTAAAGCTTTAAGAGATCATGTTATAATGGTAGGTATATTTAAAATTAATCAGTGCTCTTACTCATTTTTTCTTTAAAATTAAAAAGATTCTGTAGAAGTTTGTAGGGCTAATACTTCTCATGAAGGTCGTGCCTCAGTAGTGCTGAGGGTCATGTATTTCACAGGCAATGTCTCTAATACTTCTGAAGCTGGTTAAATTATCTAGTTTTCCTTGCTCTTCCTTTTTTTCCTTTCCAAGCTGGCATAAGAGCATCGATTAAATGAATTACAAGGTCCATGTTTGATCGATTTTTCACTTCTTTAATTTAGACAGTAAAACTTTCTATCACATTTGAAGTTAAGAATTATGATTGAGATAATAGAGGTGTGATTCCACTGGAAGTTAAAAAGGAAAAAGTTGCCTTGCAAATGTCAAGGCACCTTGTGATCCAAGATGATTAAAACTAAACTGTTTGCTATATGAATCCCAAGGTGCTTCTATATCTCAGCATCCATGACATTTAGCCAGTGACTTTTCATAGCTTGTTAATAATGTATAGCGATCCCAGTGTAAATTTGCAGTGACAAATCTGGCCTGTTACAGTAGAGCAGTTAAATAGATTTATTTTGGAAAGAAAATGCACATTTAGGAAAAAAAAATCATGACTAATGTCAAAAGAGATTGCACATTTACAATATAATTTTAGCTAAGGCATTTTCTCAGGAGATGTGCTTTTCACATTCATCTATTAATCTGCCCAACATCCTAATTATCTAACCTGGAGGTATTAGCAAAACATTAACAAAGTCATCAAGGCTAACACTCACAAAGAAAAACTGATGTCTCCAAAAAATTTCATAGTGTGGACTGGTCCACAAAATTCATTGATTTTACCAGGTTGACTGAGTCACATAAGCAGGTAAAGGTTACAGCATAAACATTCTCTTCTAAGTACAATTGCTGTTAATCATTGCTCCAGATAAACCTAATAAACTTCTGTGATGTAGAAACCATGTTTTTTCTGAACCTCATATCTCACTGATACACAAATTATTCATAAGATGTAAAAGGTCACAAGGCAGATGAAGAAAGAGAGGGAGAGAGAAAGAAAAGGGTACAGGTTTAAAAAATGGACTCAAATGATGAGATATAAAACAGTCTCAAAGAACAGTGAGTTACTAAAGGATATAAATCAACGTTGTAGAGAAAAATGTGGCTGATGTTTGGATTCTTTTAGATTTTCTCTGAGGCTGAAAGTATACTAACAAAGAAAAAAAATTATTGTGACTGCAGTAAGAATTGTCATAGATCAAAATCCTTCATTTAATTCATTCTTTTCAGTCTTTTGTTCATCTGCTGCTTTGGCATATGCTCAAATTAAGATAATTACTCCTGATAATGATTGATATAAAGGCACAACATAAAAGGGATTATATTTGCACCACAGTATGTCAGCATCAGCATCTTATATGAAATGAAAAAATCTGTGGGGAATGACAGAAAAGAGAAAGATTTTTGTCAACATCCCTAAAACTGGTCATAAATAAATTGTGAATACATAATTCTTACAGCAAATGAGCACTATTTTTTTGCTACCTTTCAAAACTATTTCAGAACAATAGTTTCAGATAAAAATAGTTTCAGAACAAAACTATTGATCTTATGTTGATCCTTCTGTAAGTTTAAAAGCTCAGACTTCCCAGTGCACCAGCTTACTTTGTTAGGTAAGCCCTCAGAGCTTTTTGCTCATAAACCTAGATAAGTATTTACTTACAAAGACATACATGGTTTTCTATTACATGGTAATCAACATACAAGATTGCAGTGATCATACCTTCATATAAGAGCTATCTAAAAGCCTCTGGGGTTTTTTTGCAGAATGTCCATATCCCAAACAACACATAAAAATATGTTCCAAAGTGTTTCAGGTATGTTTACTTCTATTTATAGTAACAAGAACTGTATTTCATACCTACTTAAACTTTCTAATATCAGTTGTATTTAAATTCTACTGTTTCTGTCCCTTCTAATGTTCTAGAAAAAATGAAAGAAGGGAAGTAAGAATGTGGAATGGCAGAACAAAAACTTTTTATTTTTTTTTAGAGGAGTAGATATGAAGGAAGGTGGGAGTGAATAAAATGCTAAGAAATTATTGGAGTCAAATCCTAAGAAAAGTTAACTTCATTAAACTCTTAACAAAGTGTAAAGTTCATTGCAATTTTGGGAAATTTGTGAAAGCTGCTGATACTAAGCCGTTGTTTTAGCTTACTTTTAGTTGCTTCATAATTGCTCAGAATAATTTAGTTAATAGCATGGCTGTCTTTGCAGTGATGAAGCATTTTTTATATCACAACATGTTTTGTGAACAGAGGCAAACGGAATACTGTGTTATTTCAGTTTTTACAAAAAAAAATATAACACATCATTATGCTAAATACTTCCAATATTCTAAAGTATTCTGCAAGTTGAATGATTGTCTGACAATGGAAACACGGCACCTTGTATATATTGATATATGTAAGACTTGATATACTGGATATCTAGGTGCTTTCATGGTTTAAGCCTTTCATCTAAATTTCAATTTGAAAGAAAAGTCCTATTCACAAAACTTTTCTATTTCTGGTGGTGCCACAATCACTTAATATGATATTATAAATTTAATAAATATTTGGAAAGCTTGCAGTAAAAAATAGGTTATTTTGCCAAACGTTTATATGTACACACATAGATAAATATATATACTTTTCTGCCTCAGTGAGAGTATGAGTTAGGCCCATAGTTATATAGTTTATATCTCTGAAGTTTCAAGGCTTTGTAGAGCCTTGAGTCTCTGAAGTCTCAAGCTTTTCTGAGTATGAAATTTCACAGAGTTCATCCAGGCTGTAACCTGCAATATCTAGCTGATTCCACACTATTGATTCTCCATGGGAGTTATAGCAACCTGCTTCACTAATCATTCTTGCTCCAAATAGTTATGACCACAGGAGATCAGTAAAGACTGTTCTAGTCTTTAATGGTGTCTACTACTCAGCAAGTATACACACCACATATCAAAATGTGCCCAATCGAAGCAGCCAACAGGAGAGTTCCTAAAAAGACCTTTATTCAATGTTTGACTTTTACAGACTAAAATATCAAGCTCACACACATTAGATACGCATAGATGTAGTTGTTCTGTCCAGATATTTTACATAATTGTAGATTTTTTTCCGGTTTATTCTGTAAATGTTTTTTTATTGTTAAGATAAAATACTTACAATTGCACCAAAGCATAAAGTTAAATTGAATTTAAACTGGCATAGTATTCCCTGTGTGTAGTTGCCTTTTTCCCCTTGTACAATATTGTCTCCATCCTTTTCATATCAGGGAAAATTTTCTCCCTTCAATTTGGTTTTTCTGGATCTTTTAATTTTCTTTTCCTTAATATGCTCTGTAGACATTCTAAAAACAAAGGTATATGAAGAAAACTATTTAAGATTTCTGTGAGCAGAATCATCCTCTGCATTCCATATTCCACCGAGCATAGGAGAATGCCAGGGCGATTCATGTTGGGTATGTGAAGTTGTGCTCTAACTACTGGGCTTTGACATTTACATATAGGGTCAAAGGACCAAATTGTATCTTCTCAGTGATTTTTTTAAAACGTTTTTCAACGAAAAAACAGGTGGGCTTATGGCGCACTCACTAAGGTGTATTTTTCATGCTTTTTCTCTCATATATTATGACTAGATATTTGAAAAATAGTAGTGTGTGCTTCAGTTTATTTTCCAAGCAGTATGCCATAGCTGTCATCTGTAGTTGATGTAGACTTTGACAAATCTGTTCTGTTGTTATTTTCTTGTTAGATTCCAAATTGTCATTACCCAGAGTGTATTCCTTATGAAATGAAACAAACATAGTCTAATAGTCACAGCAAAAGTAAACCAAAGTATAATTCCTGATACATAGTGTAATAGTTCTCCAGGAGGGGTCTCACACGTGTTTATGGTCCATCCTCCTCTTTTGCTTCACAATCTGGAAAGCTAAGGTAGGCACTGCAGGTACCTCATTCTAATTATAAATGTCGAATTAACTCAATGTAGCACCTTGAGGAGTAGGTGACGTGGCTGCTTGGATTTACTCTGCTAATATACTCATCTCCCTCTTAAGTGAGACATAAACCTTTATGCTTTTGAGTAGACCAAAGACAACATATAAGGTGTGCATGACCCAGTTACTGAAAGGAGTTTTTGAAAACATTGTCTCATGTGAAATATATCCATGTACAACACATCTCAAAAGAGTAAATTTTATTAATACCATTATGGGACCCTGTTTTTTAGAACATATTTGCATATATCCATAAAGCTGTGTGTGTATATACACAAAGACATGTTTTAATAATGAGATTAGTAGGATTTTTTCACTTCATTAAAGATCTTGTAAGTCGTGTAAGCTATATGTTGAAATCATACAGAACTACTTTGAAAGCAGTTATCACATAGAGTTTGCTGCCACAAAAAAACAGAAGATTTTTTAAAAAAAACAAATATTTTGTACCTACAATAATAATTAAAGCTTGGGTCCTGAAGATTAGCTTTTATGCTGTGGTTTATATTTGATAGTACACAGTTGTCAGCAGGCAGTTTTTCAAACATAGGCTGCAGTTACTTAGCTAAATTATTTTAGTAGACAATCTCCCAAGAGTGCATAAAGAAAGGTTTGTATTCACCTTGATAGAACCAGTGCACTCTAATTGGGACTGTTATGCTTGATTATAGTCCAGATGTGAAATTTTTGGATGGGTTTTGTCATATAAATCCCTTACAAGATCAGCATGTATCACAACATGATGCTTGGAAGTGTTCCAGTAAAATATCTTGAAACAGAAAGTAATATATGATGTCTTGTTAATGCACGTATTTTAGACACAGTGTTTCCACACAAGGTCTATTTTATATGATATTTATGTATAGTATAACACTTTGAAATGTTGTTTTCTTCAGGTGTCTTGCTGGATTTTCTGGACAATTTTGTGAAATAGAAGTTAATGAGTGTAATTCATCACCTTGTCTACATGGCTCAACCTGTGCTGATCATATCAATGGATACACTTGTAAATGTCAACAAGGTAACTGCCATATGACAGAGCAATGATAGTTTTGAATTATCAGTGTTACTAGTGAGAAAACTGGTAAACCATATCAAGCTGTTTTGTTATCTATGGACTGTAAGCTGCAAAAATGCTCTCTTTGGCAAGACTTTTGAATGAAATCTAAAGAGAATTAACTACTCCAGTAAGCATATGAGAAAGCCTTCAAATTAAGGCCAGCTCACTGAGGGAGTCTGAAGTATTATCTAGAGCCAGGTTTATTGTTTATGATCTTTACTAATGTAACTTGCTGACTAAGTTGTCAAATAGTCACTGCTTGACAGAAAAATAATTTCACTACGTATAGAATGAAATTGACTGAGAAGAAATTCTGAGGACTTTAAATAACATTTTTGTTATTATCCTTAGTGTTGGTGTTGTAAGGCATACTTTATTGGTATTACAATACAAGATTACAAGCTTATTCTGCTGGCTGGGATTAAGAGAAATTTTTTTAAACATTACAAAGAGAATGAAAAAAAGGCACTTGCTTAAAAAATGGGAACTGTTTCCTAATTCTGACAGAGATCAACTAAAACAGGTCAAGTGGTTTATGAAAATATAAGAGATTTAGTATTCATCAAAATATTTTACAAATATTTATCAAAATTTTACAAAAGCAAAGGTCACAGTCAGTCTGCATTTTCATGCAATCACAAATTTAATCTGTTCAGGACAACTTACAATCTCCTGTCATGTCTGCTAATAAAAACCCATTTCTCAACATAAGTAGGATTTCTAATCCATATGCATAAGTAACATCTTGCTACACAAGTTACTCTTAAATTAAGGAATATTTCAGTACCTGGCTCCTGAAACTAATTTTTCAGTTTAAAACAAGTATTTTACTCACTTCCACTGCTGAATGATTTCTGAGGTAGTACTGCAACAAGGTTTCTTACTGGTTATTTTTAGAGATAATTCAAATATATTCTGGATGATAAATATTCTGATAACCCATGCTATCTCCATATATCTGATCTAGTCACTTTGTGCCAAAATATGTTCACATTGTCAGTTTCCATTTACAAGCAAAAACATGTTAGCAAACTCTCCTGAAGTTGTGACCATACATATATTACACTTCTCTAGAGTCTTTCTACTCATTCTTGTTCTACATTTAAATAAAAGCACATAGCAAATTGAATATTAATACATTTTGCATTTTTTTTCATTCTGAATTTGTCTTAATGCAGCTAACTATATGTAAGAGATCTTATTCAAAAAAGTATGGAAGATACTGAAGCAAATACATGCATGTGTATAATGAAATTTAATGAGGCAGTTTATTAATTTGTTTAATTGATAATAAGGAATGATTTTCTAACATATAAGATACTTTGGCTAAGTATCTTTGCCTTACTAAAGGCTAATTATGAATAGGACTACATTGATTACAGCTTAATATTTTTTAGAACTTCTTAAAATATCAGAGAGATACTTGAAAATTCAGAAAAACACAATAGTTCTGATGTATGTACCAACGAGTGATTTTTTTTTTTATTTTTTCATACAGAATTCATGATAATAAAGATCTTTCTGATCTTAAAAAATCGGAGTCATGGCCTAACCTCAGTACTACATATCCACCTGGTGCTGCATATGGCCATATCACCCTCCACCAATATTAATGACTCAAAAACTTTAAGATGTATTTTTTTAGTCATTAACACAGAATACATTGCCAAGTCCAGTCCATTTTTCCCCTTATTTTTAAAGCTTATTAAAATAATACATCAAAGATATTTTAATATAGACATTTAAAAATTGCTCACTAGCTAAGAACTGTGATTGCTGTCTCTGTGCAACATGGAAACTCTTGGTATAAGTAGGAGAAAGTTCTCTGGGGCTTTGGAACTCGCTTCTACAGCTAACACATTTTAAATACCTCCCAACCAAAGCATGGCTGACTTTCTTTTATATTCCTTTTAATAATATCATGTGGTAGTAGGGGTGAAAGATCTGTAAATCACACTTCCATTAGGTAAAAACACAGAATAAAAAAATCATGCATTAAGTGTACATAATTTTTACGTATCTTGAGGAGTTTTTTTAATTAATATGGTATTTTACAATGTTATTTAAGTCTTTAAAATGGCTGAAAAGATGAGAATGTTACAGCTCTGAAAAGAGGTGAATTTGGAGAGGCAGGGGAATCTTTGAGAGGAGAAACTTTTTTCAAAGTTGCACATCTGAAGAAAGGGATTAGAAAAAAAAATATCATCCAGAGAGAAAAAGTAGAAATACCTGGGGAAAAAAATTGGCATTTTTTTCAGGCTTTGACTGTTCACATATAATAGATCTTATATTTCTCTTCTTAGCTTCACTATAGAAATATGGAGCTGGGATTGGGGATTTTTTGGTCTATAAAGGCAACAATGGGAAACAACTGGGGAGGTAGTCTGATAGACCCCTCAACAGATTCCCTTTTGTAATTTAATGAAATGGAAAAGGGATGGTACCAAGACTGAAACAGGAACAAGGCAGATGATTGCAGTTTTCCAAAAACCTCCAGAGAACAAAGTGAAGCATGTGGTGACAGCATGTGATACCAGGAAAGGGAATGGATGTAGCTCTGAAAAATGCATTTTGTAATGGATCATTAATTTTGTCAGCTATTGTCCCAGTAGCAGCCCCATACCCTTGGAATAATAGATGCATGTTCAGGTCCTGTGCCTGCAGCTTCAGGCTGTTCAGGTGTAGGAGCAGCATGGAGAGATGCAAACTGTGTTCTAACAGCACCTCAGACAGCTCAAAAGCAACAACAGCAGCTGTTGGCATTAACAGCAGGCTCATGGTGAAGTCTTTAACTGGGCAGGCTGCTCTTGTAACAGGGCAGCTAAAGCAAGACTGGAATGTAACAGGTGAATCCATTTGATGAATACTCTGGGGCAAAGTCTGAACAGTGGCAACTAGATTTGCAGCAGCCAAGGACTGCTAGGGAGCTTGTGGGGCTGTTGGGCTTTCTTTGTTAGTTTGTTTAGAAATAGTAAAATGGAGAAAAATCAAATCTGTAATGGGCAGTGGGAATATCATGGCAGAACGTCAGTGCTGTTCATTAACTAGCCATATTTTACAGAGTTCTAGGTTTGTATTTACCAAGCAAATGGACTGATTCCATTTCAACTTAGCCTACAAGGAGCAAGTTCGAGACAGGCTTAAATTACATGACCTAAAACACAGCTTCAAGATGAGAATTTAGCCTCTAATTTATGGTGCACTTACTTGTAAAGGAGATTTTAGTAAGAAATGTATATCAATAAAATATCCAGTAATCTGACTAATGAACTGAGAGAAGACAGAATCTCATAGTGTTTAAACACAAATTATTTGCTCAGAAAATGTCCTGCTCATTGATCTGGTACAAGAATCTCAGAGTTTCTCTTTTTAACTTTTTTTCTTTATTTTTTTCTAATCTGAGAAACCACAGCCCAAAAAATTTAATATTCATCCCATAATATATATCTCCATATATGTGAGAATGGATGATAGTTACCCATACCTTTGTTCCATTTACACTCAGTAAGTGGATACAGATTTTAATGAGTCTTGCTTTGGGGTTTACTTTGCTTTTGTTTTCTGACAGGATGGGAAGGCCTCCATTGTGAGTTGGATGTTGATGAGTGCATATCCAACCCCTGCATACATGGTATCTGTGTTCAAAAGGAGCCCAGCTTTGGTTATTCCTGTTTTTGTAAGCCAGGATTTGTGGTGAGATGCTGAAATTTCTCTTATCTTTCGTTTTACCTGGCTGTTCAACATTGCACAGAAAATACTTTTTCTTTTTAAGCTTGCTCAGAATTTTTCATATACTTCTTGAATGGAATGGAATGGATTTACAGAAATTACTTATGCGTTGTTCAAGGAATTCACCAGGAATTTCTTCCTGTTCCAGTGACTCTTTGTCTACAATTTTGTAAAGTCTGTATTTTACCATAAGGGCTTGGTAGGTAGAAATAGATCTGAACAATGCAAATAATCTGACTGAATTTACTGACAAACGATCCTGAGAAGGAAGAAACTATCATCTCATAAAAATTAATACCATTTATGAAAGGTGGATTTTACAGACTAGTAAGGGTAACATTAATGCTTCCCACAGAGCATGGTAACTGCTGCCTTTTTGTCTTCTAAAGCAGATTAGCTTTCAAAACAATGTCAAGTAGTGATTAAGGATACATCACTTGAAGGCCATAGTCTTTTTATACAGAAAACAGATTGATCCTTACGTTACAATAATCTCATTTTTTTTCCTTAAATATTCATGCTTATCTTACATGAACAATTGTAATGGAGAAGATCAGGTTCACAATTTTTTGTACCATATATGTCTCACCAAAAATCCCCAAAAAACTTCTGAATACCAAATAAAACCACCAGAGAGAAAGACTAAAATCTGTTTAGAGAAATTATTTTTTCAATTAGCGCAAAATTTATTGGTACAAGTCAGTGTTGTGTGACACTGTAGAGACCAGAAGTACAAATAAACCCAAAATTGGGTTAGAAGGAGGATAGATTAATTGTTATTCAAATTACTTTTCTGAATATTATTCTGGTCCAGGGAGTCTTTGATTTACTTATTGTCAAAAGTTGGAATGGTATATTTGGTGAGTTACCAGATGCTAGCTCTGCTTGTTTTCTTCCTGTTTTCTTCCCAAAGTATTAATTAAAATCTCACTGATGATGGAGCTAGATAGATATTTGACCCATGGGGGCAGTTTTTCTATTAGTACATAGCTTGAGTATTAATTGTACATTATGTTGCAGAACAAGCAAGCCCTTGCAAAAGGAAAAGTAACAAGCCTTTGAAGCAGCTGAAATTTAAGATGTATCATCTTTGCCTTTTATTCCATTATTCATTTTTCCATCTTCAGTGCCTCCAATTCCACTATACTTTGGGAAGGAATATAAAAGTAGGAAAACATGGTGGGGGACCAACATAGAAACATTTTTAATATACCTATCTTCAGTGTCAAGAATAAGAAGTTATGGTCTAAACACCTCAAGCGGTATATTTGTTAGGTCCCAATGGGTTCTGGTTCCTAAGAATGAGTAGGTACGGAGTGGAAACAGCAAAATTCACAGAAAAATAAGTATTCAAAGAACTCCAGCTACAGTGTGTATGTAAATCTTCTGTAGTCTGTGTCTGTACTGTTACCCAAAGTATGGATCATAAAGCATAGATTGTGAAATCTCTCATAAATTTTCAGAAGAAAAGCATAGTCAGTGGTATATGAAATAAGTGTTTACTTTTTAAGTGGAACCCTCTATAGATATATACCTACTTTAAAGTACAAATCTGCGCAAGTTAAATGATTCCATCCCCCTGCATGGAAACTGTTAAAGCATTTACAGGCACTTTCAGTGCTATCAAATTTATCTATGGCTACTTAATGTACCCTTCATGCACACTGGAGGTTATCCACATCTGCTTTGTTTCTATGAGTCATAAAATCGTAATCAAATGCTCTTTGCCATTAAATGTAGTAGTCATAAAAATGTACTAATCTATCGCAGGAAAGTCAGAATGAAACATAAGTTTTATAGGATTAAAAACGATTATGAGCCTTCTCAAACTGATCATTTGTTCTATGTGTGGAATTAGAAAAGAGCAAGAAGGAAATGCATGGGAACTGACATATTAATTGGTCTGTTTTTCCTTTGTGCTTTGGAATACCGACACAGTGAGTGATTTTATAAGATGCCATGAATCTACCAGATAGCTTGTCTGCTTGCCAAAACAAATTAAGAAGTTGATTGAAACAAACATGAATGTATCAAAATTACTCAAAACCCATCAATTTAACACCTTCTGTTTTAAACCCCAAATAATTTGTACTACTTGTAAAAAAAGTGATTTCAGTTTTCATGCCTACAGTTCTTCCTCTCTCTCTCTTGTTCTTCCTATTGTTTCTTAATATCATAAATCAATATAATCAATATATAGAGATCTCATAAAATACAATTTGTCCCAAGTTCTGTGTAAATAGTTAGCTACGTAGACATGAAAGACTTTTTAAGTGTTTGTCTGAAGGAAAGTGTGTAATGAATACATGCTTTTTGAGCTCTAGAGAAGGCTTGGATTTTTTAACATGTGCTCCAATTGCAGGAGAAGATTCAGTTAAAAATTATGTCCTGATGATATGTTGTAAGAGATGTATGTCCTCAGGGATGAAATGTACATATTTTACACAGTTATCAAACATGTAGTATCCTTCTAGGATAGCTGTTAGCTGTCTCCCTTCACGTAGTCTATTAGTTCATTGCAACAGAAGTGAAAATAAAATGAACCCAGGCCTGACTTCGGAATATATTTATTTCACACTTCAAGAATGCATTTAATTCACATAATTATTCCTTGCCTTTTTTACAGACCACTGAATATGATCATTTTTGCTTTATTACTAGGGAGGATATTTCAGACTTCCCGTGAATTGTTACTCTTGATAAAAAAATAGGAAATGAATGCCTGATCCAATTTGAGACTGCCACTATATTTTTTTCTTTTCTAAGCGCTATCTGTGAATGCAAGGTATTAACAGGGAGCTGTGTGCAGATTTGGTAACAACAGACAACAAACAATGGGCTGCAGTGTACAAAAGGAAAGAACATTAGCTTGCAAGTCAGAGCGAGCCATAGATTTTTAGTCAGCTAAGTCCTCTGTAAAAAGTATTTTTCAAACCTACATTCTATATGAAGATCATTATTTTAACCAGTTTTTAATACTGGTAACAATATTGTCTTTGATACTGTGCAATTACAAGTCTGTAAAGAAATTATTTTCTTGATAATCAGAGTCAAAATGTTACTCAGTTAAAATTTAAAACTATACTGTTACATTAGTTAAGGAATATTTTCCACATGGCATTTCCTTTTGAAAGTATAAACAACTTAATAGAAGCAAAAAATATTTTAGAATCAAAAGAAAGCAACTAACGTCACTATGAAATGTGAATTGTCGTCAAAATATGTCCTTTTTTTGAAAACTCTCTTTCAGGGACGAAGCTGTGAGCTTAATTACAATGATTGTCTTATACAGTCCTGCTCCACTGGGTTTCTTTGTGTTGATGGAATAAACAATATCACCTGTTTACCTACTGTGCCCCAAAGCAAGAAAATTCTCAGTGAAGTGGCTGAAGTGTTTCCTGCCGAAATTTTAGACAATGACCTTCCATCAGCACTGGCTGTGTCTATGGAACTTTGGTCTAAACATGTCTCTCCTGATTTACATGCAGGAGAAGTGTCCCAAGGTGAGTAGAAAGAGCTTCTGAACAATGCATATATCAAACTTCTTTCCTTGTTAATGCTTCTAAAATGCTTTTAAATGCTTCTAAATGCCTCTAAGAATATTGGAAATATATTAATTTTAATTATTAAATTTTTTTATTTCATGTATTCCCTTCTATTTTTCTTGTATTTACTACAACATTCTTTCTTAATTGCATTTATATGTAACTGCAAACTTACTCTTCTCTCAAAAGAATTTTTCCCATCATCTTTCACATCCAATAAGGAAAACTACACTTTTATTTAGCTGGGTTTTCAGTTTGCCAGAGTGTACAATTTCATGTGCTTCATATTGTGTTCAGTAATCTCTGATTCTAATGCCAATCTTCCCTTCTTCCTTGGCTAGTCAGCAGGAGAGAAAGATAATTTGCCTTACTCCATAGGGATTTTGATTCTTTTTTCTTAGTTCACATGTTTTCTGAGTGCTTCTTTTTCTGTGCATCTAGATGTTTTTAGACTAAAATACATATTGGACAAACCTCTCAAAGTCCCTGCCATTCTTATTGTTTGTAGTGATGTTTTTGGCATGCCATAATTTTCCTATCCTGTTATTTTAAAACATTCACAAAAAAGTCAAAAGTAACAGAAGTGCAACATTTTATTATGAAGATTGTATCTACATTGTGGCCTCTTCATTTTACTAAAAATAGTATTACATAGGCATTCTCTTTACAAATGGTTTCAGAATTTTTTGCTTATATACATCTTCAAAGTGATTACTTGTATAAAAAATAAGCTGACTCCTGTTTAGTTGTTTTGGGGGGGATTGTTTGGTTTTTTGTTTTGGTCTGGTTTGGTTTGTTTAGGTTTGTTTTTAATGTTGTTTTTTTTTTTTATTTGGGTAAATGATTTATAGAGAATGTTGGGTTATGGTATACAGAATTCTCTTGGGATAGACTGAGTGAGTGACTGATTGACAGAACTGCTCGTTCTGACTTTTCCTTCACAAGAATCACATACTCATATTCCATTTTTTGATTGATATTTTCTATTTTTCTGCAAAGACTGTCTCCTAATCATCATTTTCATCACTTATGTTCTTTAAAGAGACAAACATAAACTTGACAAAATGATTGGGTGATGTTAAACAGCTGACCACAGAGGAAATTCAACTAATACTGGAGACAAAACTGCATGATCCAGACAAGGAGATCTGTCATTCATGAAATCAGGGTACTTTCTGAAACATTCAGCTGAGTAGTGTATCTCAACAGTGACTTTTCACTGACATAGTTAACAGTAGTTCTGAGTTCAAAACACACATCTATTTGTAAACTCTTAAAATATTTTTGGAACAATCTGATCAAGTGCTCTTCTTCCTACAAAACCTTCAGGTATAAAGTTACTGATGGATACTGAAAAGTTGTCATTGTTTGAATCCCCTAATGATGAGATATCCTACTTGGTTTTATTGGCACAAGTCACAAACAGAAATTTGTAAAATTTTAATGACAAACCATTTATTTTTACATACCTGTTATTCTGCTTCAAGTTCTGCCTTATACAAGGATATTAGCTGTACTGTACTGAAACAAATGACTGCTGAGCCTAACAAAGAACTCATGAGTTCACCCTGTTACCTGGACTGAACAGAACATCTGCAGTGGAGTAGGTTCTGGCCTTTATCAGCTGGTGTTCTGTCAAGTACCTCATTTCTATTCAGAGAAACTTTTTGAGGTGGTGGGGTGTTTTTATACCGAGATAAAAGTGTCTGTCAAGGTTTCCAGGTGCTTGGAAGAGATTTATTGTCACCAGGCAGCAGCTGATATGGCACCTGCAGCCGTACCTGACGCAGATGGCTCTTCCTCACCTTCTGCCACACGGGCTGCTCGAGCAGCAGAGCAGCAGGTTGGAGGCTGCTACAGTGCTGACAGCAGATCAGCAACACAAGTTTCACCTCACTACAATAATCTTTTCAGGATTTCAGGTGTTCCTTTCATCATACTTACATATAAACTCAGGAGGTATTTCTACCTCTTGAGTATATAGTTATGATATTATAGTATAGGCTATAGTATATGAGTATATAGTATATAAGCATAATCAACATTTTTAATGTAAAATAGTTACAGAGAAAAGTGTATATATCTTGAGGTAAATTTTTTTTGTATGTAGTACAATTAACTTGCCACTTCTCGTTTCACAATGAGACAAATGATGGCTGCATTTCTTAAAAGCAGTACTACTTTCAGAACATTGCAACATTTCAGAAATAAATTCAGGGAATTAAAAGGACATAGGAAAACCTAAGAACTCTGGAATTAAATATTAGGGAATATTGATTGATTTGGTCCACAGTTTTATATTATACTTTTATAAAAGAGAATTAATACCCATAAAGCCAAGGAGAGGGTTTTTGCTTTTCATTCTTTGCTTGAGGGCTTGTGTTGGAAAAAATTACTTTATATCATTGATTTAAAGCACTTAGGGGGGAAAAAGTATTTCTAGACCTGGAAAGATATGTATAAAGGTGCCAAAAGACAAATAAACCATTTTTGTTGGGTATAGAATACAGTTATTTTCCTGTGAATGCTTGTCTAAATAGATTTCATTCTCAGTACACATACATAAATATGCAGATCAAATTCATGTTTCCAGAACTGCCTCCTGATACTGTGCCTGTAGTCAAGAGGTCAAGTTGTCTTAGTATACCACTATGGATTTCCAACTGATCATATGATCTAAAAGGAATTTTATTTGCATTTTTCGTTGCTGTTGATGTTGTTGTTTTGGGGAGTTTTGTTAGTTTGATTGGGTTTTATAGTGGAAAAAATAGAAAAGGAACAACAATGCATCCCCAAAAGTAATAGCTGACCTTATGTTGATGCATAAGCAAATCTATGGCTTTTTTATTGGAAGAAATAAGACTCTTAAAAAGCAGAGTGAGAAATGCTCTTGGATGAGTAAAATCTTTAATACACAATCCATAGTAGAAGAAATTAGTCAAGCTGTATAACCTGTTGTACTTGTCTCTAATTACAGATTTTGTGTATTTGTTAATAACTTTTATTAATAAAACTTGAGAAAAAATACAGATGACTCACCCAGATAAATTGCAGTCTGACAAATGGAAACTACATACTTTTCATGTATTTTAGAATAGCTATTCTCATATGACAATCAGTAGATACATTATAGCAAGTTCTAAGCTACCTTAGAGTAGCAGGGATCTCTAGTAAAGGGCTATGAGAGATGAGATATATCTTGCAGAAAAATATATTTTTTGATCTGGTCTCCAGGTGTGCTTTTCAACTTCCATGACATTGCTTGCAGCAAAAATGTTTTGTAAATACAGTTGTTCTTAGGAAAAAAAAAAAAATATTGTTATAGAAATGCTTTCATGTGACCAGAGGGGATGACCTAAGCTCTTAACCATATGTATGTTAGCACTCTGTGAAATTCTGTATGACTTTTTCAGTTTCCCATGCTCTGCCACTAAGTAATTGGCCAATATGCAACCATTAACACAAATTGAATGCAGGGAACTTTCCTTCCTTCCTTCCTTCCTTCCTTCCTTCCTTCCTTCCTTCCTTCCTTCCTTCCTTGTGGAGAGCTTTAATGTGGAGAGCTTTATTAATAGTTGGTTAGCTGAGAAAGGCCATGCGGACATATTGCCACTGGTCAAGCTGAGAAATCAGCAGTCAGCAAGCTGAAAGGAGATGTCAGCAGCTTGCAATCAGTGGCCTTGCTGCAACATGGAGAAAGGGAGT